TTAATATAAATAATTTTACAATACATCAAAAAATTATAATTTAACTAAATTATTTTAATTATTACTTATAAAAATATATTAATAATATAAAACTGTAATTAATATATGCCTAAATTGAAATCATATGTATTTTTAATGCCATTTATTTGACTGGAATGACTTTGATGAACTAATTTTGGAGCATTTCATATTGAAAAGTTAGAATACTACAATAATTGTTAGAGATGTACGATTGTTTGGTAATCGTTAATTGTACTAATTGGCTACTCTATCAATCAATCAATCATTAAATGACAATTCTGCAATAATCAGAATAAATGGTAAATAACCATTCCATTGGAAAAACAATTTAATTATTTTTAATTTAAAAAGTAATAAGCATCAAAAAAAAATGATGAATTATCATTACTAATAAAGTTAAGATAATTATAGTAACACATCCAATTTTATTGAAGCCAGTAACTTTTTGTATCTATGCTTTCAGTCTGAAATTTTTATTCAAACTGAAAATATTCTATTACAATACTAATAAATTTTTAAAATATATATTTTTAAGGAATAAGCTTCAATCACAGTCATAGCCAATTATCATATCTGACTGATTAATTTTCAGTGCATCTGCCTATTTTTGAAAAATATTTTCATTTTTAAACAAGTAGATTGTTATTACATAACAAAACAATATGAAATCATTGGCAAACTAAACTGCACTTGAAAGAATATCTGATGTTTGGAAATAATTGTGACATCAATAAATTAATTTATCAATTAATAATGAAAAAACATGAGCACCAAAAATAGTAAAATCATCATGCCTGTTTGTTTAGAATGGCATCAGTATAGAATTGGCAAGAAAGTATACAATCCTTATTCTACATTAAAAAAGATAATGAAACATTATCTCTGGCAAGTTTTCTCTGTTGCAAGAGACTAAGGGAGAAAAGACAGGGTACATAGTAATCAAGAATTAATTTAATTAAGAATCCTTTTAATCAATGAACCTAATTGTTATTTATATGCCAGTTGCATCAGTTTTAATTCAATTATATAGCCAATCATACAGTTCTCATTAGCATAAGCAAGCAGGCCTGCTAGAATATAATGCAGACAGAATGCTAAGCAAAAGAGAATGTGATTTCCTTTATTATTTGAATATAAAATGATACTAGGTCCTTTCTATATTACAGCGGTGCAATCATGCTGTGCATCTGCTAGTATAATGAATAAATCAATAGGAATTCTGGTGTTTCTTACTAACCAATGATGACAAAGAACAAAAACAACAAACAATGAAAGTATTTCTCTTCTTTGTAAACAAATTGAATCTTTGACTACTAAAATTTTTAGTAGTAACCCATTTTTAGTAGTATTATTTTTCAATATTTTCACACAACTTTAAACTGTAAATAAATAATAAAATANTTTACTGATTAATATTTAGAATAATAATTATTAATCATAGATAAATAGAATACCATAATTATTAAGGATGGGGTGATTATCAAGTTAATCAATTAACAATGAATGATTAATTGGGATTATATAATTAACCATTAACTAATCGTTGTCAAGTATTTTTCTTAAATATTTTATAAAATTTTAAAAATTTAAAATTTTATAAAATATTTAAGAAAAATACTTGACAACGATTAGTTAATGGTTAATTATATAATCCCAATTAATCATTCATTGTTAATTGATTAACTTGATAATCACCCCATCCTTAATAATTATGGTATTCTATTTATCTATGATTAATAATTATTATTCTAAATATTAATCAGTAAAAAACAAAAATTGTATAATTGCCATGCAAATTTTTCTATATCACATACTGAGGCTCACCATCCTTGATACAGGCAGTATCATAAAAAGATTTCAAATAAACATTGACTTTTTCTATATGTTTATCACTGTTTACAAGAATTATTAACATATCTAGTCTTTAAGATGATTTAGACCAGTGATAAACAAACTGCTGTTTCCAAACTGCATATATTTTCAAGAATTCCACAAACACATTTAATTTTTGATAAAATTGTTAAATTGATAATATAAAAAAATTGCCATTTTGAAAAAACATTTTAAAATTATTTCTTTAAACAAATTTAAACTGTGATAAGATTTTATATTTAAAAATAAAGGTTAAGATTTTAAAAAGTTGTCTGTATTAAATCCCTTTCTTCCACAGTTCTGCAGAGTTTCCTGGATATTGAAAATTTGATATCTGACTTGTCTTGGCCAATATAAAAAAAATAAAATAAAAATTTTAACAAAAATAAAATATATATATATCTTTATCAGAAGTAGTCAGTAGTCAGCACTCTGCTAAAATTGTAGATCATTTCTTTATGAACAGAAAAAGATACACATTCAGGAACAACACTTGGCAAGATATTTTGTTCCAAAGTTTTCCTTTCATTTTTTTCAGTTAGACAAGACAACCAAAAAAAGATATCATATCTCACAACAGAATGTATGTTAATTCTTGGTTTATTTTTTGCTCTTGGAGACACAATCTATTATACAATATTAAGTCAGTACTGCTTCAGTCATTGTTTATTTCTATCAAATATATATCATTAAATCTATAATCAGTATTCTCATACTTGAAATATACCTTATGCTATATAAATATCATTTTCAGTTACTTCAACTTGCTCCAAGAAAACCTTTAACATGCAGCTTAATTTTGCTATCAACTAATGTTTTCGGACTGCTTCACTGACCTTCTTCAGGTTCGTTCTTAATTTAACGGAAAGACAAAAATCTTCATTTGAGATGAAAGTTCTTTTTCTTAACAGAAAGCTTCTAGAACACTTATCTTTAAATCAAATCATCTTAGATTTGATTTAAAGTCAGTGAAGCTGTCCGAAAATGTTAGTTGGTAGTAAAATTAAGCTGCATGTTAAAGATTTTCTTGGAGCAAGTTGATTTATGATAGTAAGTACAGTTTGTTTAGAAGTTATATTCAGTTACTTCTTATAAACAAAACCACTAAATACATCATTTAACATTAACAAACTTATTTAAAGATACTATTCTGATTTTTTTGCCACTACTCAAAATTTATTTCATCAATTTTGAATAGTATTTACAAGTATAAGAACAAGTTTCAGGAATCACATCTCAATAAGGATTACTCTTTGGCTTACCATACTTTCTGGTGTATAAGACGATCTCTGACTTTTACAGTTAAAATATAGTGTTTGGGTTATACTTGCCATATATGACAACACCTGACGTATAAGATGACCCCTGACTTTTGAAAAGATTTTCCTGGGTTAAAAAGTCATCTTATATGCCAGAAAATACAGTACTTGAAATTTTTGCCCATATGGAGATTGTCTATAACAGAATTATCATTTTACTTCTGAGAGATAAAATATTAGGATATTTTAATATTTTAATCAATATATATTTTCTTCACTGATATGATTAAAATTCTTTTAAAAACAAAACTTTACTAAATCATTGTTTTGATTTTTAAATCAGTTTATTTTATTTTGATGTCAGATTTATTTGAGAAGTTTAAATTTTTAAAATATTGTTATTTTGAATAATTTTTAGGAAGTAAAAATTGATTTTGATGATTTCTATTATGATTTTCAAAACAAATAAGCTATTAGAATGTTAAAAACAGACCCTTTATATTATTAAAATCACTTTTACTTTGTAAACATAATTATTTAAAATAAAGTGTGAAGATTCAATTAATTTGCTAATATTGTAATGGTGCTTTGTGCATCCTGACAAAGTACAGAGTTCTTAGTAGAGAAACTATACAGAATTTCAAAGAAAATGAAAGTTTGTCTAGTATATTGGGCCAAAGACCAAATTTAGTTTCTATTCTCAGCTTTTTGAAAGCCAAAAATATTTTGAGACTTGTTTACTTATTATTCTATGCTAATTTTATGATTTGCATGATATATATCAATTATGATTGTATAACATACTTTTACATATCCTACTGTTCGAGTTCATTATTAAATACGTTGGCAATTTATATGTTCAGTTACAGTTTTTGTTCTTGTTCATTCTAACTTTCAACTCAGTGCAACTTGGCACTTCTGAGTTTTCTACCAAAACTTAAATCAACAAACCAATTTAAAATAAGTAATAATTAATTTTGATATTCTATAATTAATTCAATGCAATTTTGTAAAGGAATAGTAAATAGGTATTTAGATATAATCATGCTAAAGCATCAAAAGGTATGTTAATTTAAATAGCAGGTAAGTTATAAAAAGATTCTATTTTTGGTATAGAACTTTTAGATAAAAAGATCAGTATTATTTTTAATAATAAAAATTTCAATCATTTTAGCATCCGAATTTCCTATCGAGTACAGATACAACATATATATTTTTTATCTAACGAAAGACCGAAAAAAAATGTCAAATTAATTTTAATTGATACGAAACGGTACGATTACATGAAAAATCAGAAACAATTCCAATTTACAAATGATTAATAATTTTCAAAAATAATTAAGGTGCAATAATACACGATTTGTTTTTCTTATCATCATCTGTTAAGAAAACAAATCAACAAAGGTAAATGCACTTTATTATAATAATGCAACAACAGAAGCTTAGTGTTTATATAAGTTACAATATACCAAATCAAAAGATCTTAAAATTATGTAATTTATAGAAAAAAAAAAAAAAGAAATCCAACATTATCTTAAAAACTTATATAAAAATTTTGATCAGTTTTAATCTATCATTTAAGCATTTATCTTAGTCATATTACTTAGATGGCACTTAAAAAAAAAATCCACTAAACTAAATAGACATTAAGTTTTTCACTCGGGACAAATAGTTAAGTAAAAGTGAAAACATCGATATATAATCCGAGACAAATAAAGGTTGGAAAACGTTTAAGACTTTTAAGAAATTCTTAATAAAATGACGATAAAACGTAATTTTTTAATACTGGAAATATAATGACTCTTAGGACTAATTTTAGGCTTAATACAGTAGAGGTCATTTCCTCACCAAAATTCCTGATTACAAGTTTCTTTGCTGATCCTGGTTTACTATTCGTTAAAGAAGCACTTTTATTCATGCCATTAGGACTATTTACATTTAAGTTTGTTCTCTTTGTATCATTCATTATCGAATCACTTTTCTGTCGTTTAGTCAAATAGTTGTTCTCTGAATGTCTCCTACGTCTGTTTTCAGACTGCTGCTCTTCGGTATGATTTATATTTGACATAGGCGATCATATCCGCGGCTATACAAGCCGTCTACTGATTGATTAAACAGTTCAATCTTAATGTTTTTTTTAAAAAAAAACGATTCCTCTCTTATTCGAAAACTCGCATTTATAACTCGCAATGCTTTTGAACTCTTAACTATCGACGGCGCTAGCCGCTATTCCGCAAACTTTCATTATTCATATTTAGCCTAAAATTCGCCAAATTACTTCATTGGGCATTGGGCCAATATTTGTTATTCTCGTTAAAAGTTAATCGATTATTTAGGAAAAAAAATTTTTTTTTCTTTCTTATTTAATTTAAATTTTATATTTAATTTTTATTAAATGATTTCCTCGTTAAGTGGAAGGCGTTACTGTTTCGGTTATATATGTGCATTGTGTAAAAAAAATATATAAATTTATAGCGCTTTTTGTTCTACTGTTTTAAGATTTTTTTAAACTTGATTCTGTTATTTTTAATCATTTAAAATTGAAATGTTAAAAATTCAAAATTCGATTTCGTGTTTGCGATTTTTTCTACCGGCATCAAATTTTGAAGTTTATCTCATTCAAAAGTTGGAATGAAACCAAATAATTTAAATAAATAAAAAATGAGCTTTCATTTATTATACTTGGATTCTGAAAGCGTAACAAATGAATGTGCAATATAATAATTTAAATTTATGTCTAAAATATAATATCTTTAAAAATATATAGCGTATAGAAGGTTTGAAAAACAAGAGTTTTTTCTTCCGCAAATTTAAGCTTGAGAAACGTTTCTAATGTAGATATACCTTAAGAGCTGTGGCTTAGAATATGGCGAGAAAATTAGATTGAAATTTTAGTTAAGAGTTAAATTTACTTAATAATTTTTCTTTTGAAAATAAATTTATTTATTTGTATGAACACGAGAATAATTTAGTAAACAATCGCATTGTACGAAATTGCAAACCTAAAAGCGTAATGTGTTACTCCTGATTGATAAAATGAAAAAAAAAATAATCCATAGGTTATGTATTTACTGGTACTTATAATGTTATTTTATATTCTTTTATGTGATAATCATTCTCTATCAAAAGAGCCCATCTTTAGAAAACAATAAAATCGAATGTACTAATTTAGATTGCGACTGTATTTCACGATCGTAAAGTGCAATTCACTCAATTTATTTAAATTTTATATAGGTTTTCATTTAATTCTAATTTAATTGTTGTTCGTCTGACTTTCTTTGCATTTAATTTTGTGTAAACATTTATTAAAATATTCCATTTTTGTGTTGCATAAAAAAAATAAAAATGAGTAAATTCGATTGGTGCGATTCTGAATGTATTCTGTATTATTGCAATAATACGTGATGGTAAAGTCTTTTAAATATATGAAATAGAATCAAATATTAAACTAAGCATTTTTATTATCGAAAAATGTACAGTACTTATCTTATTAATTGTTTCTTTCATAAATATGGTTTAATAGATTTATTGAAAATATTTAACAAATTGAAATTTGCGGTGATAACAATAAACGATAGAACCGAAACGAATCGAAAACGACATCTCCCCGCAGATATTTGAATTTTAGCCAATCATACGCTCTCTGAAAATAACGTCATGTCGCCTTTTATAATTTGTCACGCGATCTGGAGCACTCACGAATACGGTTTCTATTTCGCGTTTTAAAAAAAAATTATCTTTAATTATTAATTAATGTTTTGTAAAAATTAATAATAAATTTTAAAAGTATACATCAAATTTTATTTCTTACAGTCAAATTTATTTAATTCATAAGCGTCAAAATATAAATTCATATAAACAATGTTTACTTATTAATATAACAGAATTAACCTAGTTATTCTTTTAATCTTAAATACATTTATCATACAGAAAGTTAATATACTAAATTTTCTGTTTGGTAATGTAAAGTAGCTAACAATTTTAATAAAAAAACATAAAATCGCTTTATATAGATCAAATTATACACATTTGATATCTCTAATAAAAATATCAATTGAAATTATTTGACATATTCAAATGATAGGAATAGGTATGAGATGATATGAGTAAACTGGTCAATAGAATACGTAATCAATTCATTTATAAATCTATTTGATTTTAAATGTTACATACTTTAGAATTATTTCAAATGATTTTGTTAGCTTTATGACATTTAACATTCATACTTATCGATTAGAACCAACTAAGACATTTTGGTACAAGCTTTTAATTTAAGTGTCTTTATATTTTTAATTATTAGCTTTCATTTCCATTGTACAGACACTGCAAACTATAATATGTGTTTGGTACAATACTATGCATAAAATGGAAATTAATGATTTATAAAAAGCGAATGTAGTTTATAAACTGGTACAGTGAAAATGAAAGCGAATACTGCAAATCTTTAGACAAGTAATTTGGTTTTTGTATTAATTAAAACACATTAAAACACATGTTTGATTTTTCTGGAGCAGAGAAGTTTTGAAATAAGTTTTCTGTAAAATTTTTTCATTTTTGGCTTTTCATTGTTTACTTGTAAATTTTTATATATTTATTGTATTTCTATTTATATTTTATGTTTCATCATTTATTATTATTTATTTTGGTTTTTTTGTGTGTGTGTGTATGTGGCGTTTCCTTTATTTTGTTCTTTTATTCATATTTAATTTTGTTGTGTTCGAAATTCCGTTAAAACTTTATACTCTAACTAGAGAATGCAATTCAACGTTTTTGAGGATGGTTTGTCGAACCGTTTCTTTGGCAAAAAAGGGGTGTTGTATGTGATAAAAGTACTGTATAACCAAAATATAAAGGCACTTAAATTAAAAGCTTGTATCAAATTCTCTCAGTTGGTTCAAACTGATATGTATGGATGTTAAATGTCATAAAACTAACCAAAGCATTTTTTTTTTTTTCAATATTGTTTAATGGGTGAGTTATTAAATTCAAATTTCTCTTGAATTTTGAATTTCTTTGAATTTTGTCACGTATTTTAGATCTCGTGAAAAAATAATTAAGAGTGACATGACGTCATATAGAGAAATAATATGATTGCTACAACTTGCATAAACTTTAGAGGATCGATTGTAGAAATAGTCTACTATTTACGATTTTTTAAAATTCAAATTCAGATATTCTTAAATATTACTATATTTTTGTATATAATAAATGAAAGTTCTATTTTTGTCAAAAAGTATTACAGCCTATTTCATTTCTATTCGGCTAAACCAGTGCTTCTCAAAGTAGGTGATATTGCCCCTTGGGGAGCGTTAGGCATAATAAGAGGCGAAGGAAGCGATAGGCTCTGTCGCCTCCTACAAAGTCTATAAACGTGAGGTCAAGACACAATACCGTGATGCATCGCGGCAATCGCCATGTTGGGGCTCTTTTGGTGTGTATGGTGTTTCTAGAGTGAAGCTGATTATTTGTTTCTTTCGATCTCAATTAGTTGGATTTCTTGTTATATATAGGGTATATATTAGGGTTTCTCATTTCCCGGTCTTTTGCTTGTTCCGGGATAAAAGTGAACTGTTTCCCGGGATAGAATTAATTATTTTTAAGATACCGGTATACAAAATATCTTGAAATCAAATGATATAATTAATTTTCGTTTTTTAAAGAAATTTAATACGTTCTGCAACCTCCAAAATCATATTAATAATGCTGTCTAAGATATATATTAAAAATTACCTTTGAATTACGTAGAAATTTTCACAAATAGAAAAAATTTATCAAAGTTTGCTGGGAACTGCATACAACAAAAAAAAAATGCTTTGAATTGACTTGAGAATTTAATGAACTTAGATCAAACTTCTAACTTAATTAAAAGGTAATGTTTATTTTTTAAATAAAGCATAATACAAAATATTATTGTAAATTTTTATAAGATTTTAAAAAGCAAAGATGGTCAATACGCGGATCACTCAATCTGATTTTTATTTTAGTAATGAAAAGTCCTGCTACCGATAATGCCCTTTTCGATTAAATTGATGTCAGTGGAATTATGTCTTCTCTTAAATGCATTAAACACATGTTGTGTGTTTTTTTGCCTGTAGCCTGGAGGATTTATAATTCATTTTCAAGATTGTAGGATTTCTTTTGTTCTCTGGTATCCTTTATTTGTCTTGCTTTAATAGAAACATCAAGCCCAATAATTCGGCAGTTCGTTTGTCTTTAATAATCAGGTTTATGAAGAAAAACTTCATACTTGCGGACTTCATACTCGTTTGTATTCTTGTCCAATTTGCATAACCTGGCGTTACGCAATTATTGAAGCTACTGGGCATGGTTAAAAAGTCAGATAGCATAAGCACAATTATTCCAGATACTACAGGTTCTTACAAATGAATTTTCAGAGTCCTGTTACAAATAAGCCACATATTGATTATTGATTATTTGTGATATGCCATAACGAGCAAAGATTTAAAAAACTAATAAGTAGGTTTAAAATTAATGAATAGAAATGTATTCTGACCGTTTATGAGTTAATTATACTTTCTATTTGCAAAATTTCCTCAACTTTAACACAAAATAAGAAAAAAGTGAATTTTTAATTTAAGAAATTTGCGGGATTTCCCGGGATGAGAAGAATTTCCAGGGATATTTTCCGGGTTAAAAAAACAACCGGAATTCCCGGATCCCATTTGAGAAACCCTAATATGTATATTTAAATGGTTTTGTGTAGCATTGTAAAAATTCGATAGCCAAAGATAATTAAAGGCTTTAACTAAATAGGTTCAAAATAAACAGCTGTGTATAATAAAGTACGAGGATAAATTTTTTTCGTTTCGAAATGCAAAATTAGAGAAGAAATTTGGAAATATTTTTGATTCTATCCAGGACCGGTTCTGGACTGTTAGCTGCTTGCCTGCTAGATATTTGGCCGCCCTTGCCCCATTATGTGAATCACAAGTAGATTTATAACTTAACACAACCGATAGTAATTTACTGGTATGTTTTTATGATAGTTCTGTATAGTTGACAGGAGTTTTAAAAAATTCATGGTTAAAGTCCATAATTAACTTTTACTTGGTAGCATCATTTACAACTAAATTTAATGGATGAGAGAGACGCACGAGGTACAGAAAAAGCTCTAGAATTTATTTTTCTTAAATTTACGATTTATGTATCCGTTGTCATATAAATTTGTCTTTCCACTTCTTTCCCAAGACTACAAATATTCGAGTACAAAGTAACC